TCGTACATCCGTGATAACGCATCCGGCTTAGTGTTCTTGGATCCAGGCCGGTACGTAATGTGGAAGTTGAATCTTGAAAAGAATAGTGCCCATCTCGCCTGTCGCGGGCGTAGACGCTTGGCGGTCCTCAGATATTCTAAGTTCTTGTGGTCAGTAAATATTAAGATGGGGTGCACCGCACCTTCCAGCAGGTACCTCCATTCCTCTAACGCCGTTTTGATCGCTAGTAGCTCTTGATCACCGATATCATAGTTCCTCTCCGCTGGGGTAAGCTTCCGTGAGAAGAATGCTACAGGATGGAGCAGTTCCTTGGTGCCTTTTAGTTGGGAGAGGATGGAGCCTACCGCATTCTCCGATGCATCTACTTCCAAGATATAGGGCAGGGCGGCGTCTGGGTGACCCAAAATGGGTGCCGACGTGAACAGCTTCTTCAAGGCTTCAAAAGCTTCCTGCGCTTCTGGTGTCCATCTGAACCGGGTTCCCAGCTTGGTTAGCTGAGTAATGGGGGGAGACCAGACCCGAGAAGTTCTTGATGAACTTCCGGTAAAAATTTGCAAAACCGATGAATCGTTGGACGCCTTTTCTGTCTGTGGGTTCAGGCCAATCCAGTATTGCAGCGACCTTCTGGGGATCCATCGCGACCCCCGCGGTGGAGATAATCAGGCCCAAGAAGGCAATGCTGGATTGTTCAAAACATTTCTCTTCCTTGGCGTACAACCCATGCTGCCGCAATCGCCCCAATACCTTTGCTACATGTATTCTGTGTTCCCCCAAAGACGGGGAGAAAATCAGAATGTCGTCTAAATAAACGATAACAAAGACATCCAGAAAGTCCCTAAAAATATCATTCACAAAGTGTTGAAACGTGGCCGGAGCATTACACAGCCCGAACGGCATGACCAGATATTCAAAATGGCCGAAGCGGGTGCGGAAGGCCGTCTTCCACTCGTCCCCCTCCCTTATGCGAATCAAGTTGTATGCCCCCCTCAGATCCAGCTTGGTAAAAACCACTGCTGACTTTAAACTTTGGAACAGCTCTGGTACTAACGGCAGTGGGTAACGGTTCTTTATCGTGACCCTGTTTCAATTCCCTGTAATCGATACACGGCCTTAAGGTTTTGTCTTTTTTTTTTTAACAAAGAAAATTCCCGCCCCCGCCGGTGAAGTGGAGGGGCGGATGAACCCCTTCTGGAGGCTGTCCTCGATATATTCCTTTAGGGCCCCCAATTCGAGCTCTGAAAGGGGGAAGATTCGCCCAAAAGGAATTTCTGAGCCGGGTAACAGGTCAACGGGACAGTCATAAGGGCGGTGGGGGGGTAGAGTATCGGTTCCCCGTTTGCTGAACACATCTAGAAACCCATGGTAGACTGCAGGGATTACTTGTTTTAATTCAGCTTCCCCCTCAGAGCACAGGAGGATTTGGGGGACCCCCGGGCCCGAAGTGCGGCAGTATACCCGACAGTATGGGGAAGGGAACGAGATTACTCCGGTCTCCAGTCAATCTGGGGGTTATGGGCCCGTAACCATGAGAGCCCCAGAATGACTGGGAAGAGGGGTGAAGCTATAGCATCCAGGCGGAGGAGTTCCTGGTGCTGGCCGGCAATGACAGTGGTGATGGAGGGGGTTTCCTGGTTCACTACCCCCGATTTTATTCGGGAACCGTCGGCCAAATAAATATTGAACCCCTTCTGTTTCAATTGGAGAGGAATACCCCTGCTGGTGAGCAAAATTAATGTCCAAGAAGCAGCTTCGTGCCCCCGAGTCAATTATGGCCGATACTTCCACGGTCCTTTCTGGAAGCTGAAAGGAAAGGGGTACCACTAAGTATTGGGATGGACCAACATTGCCAATGGATAAGGAAGAAGAGGTGCACTTACTCGGTTTCTGCGGGCAGGATCGTGCCATATGACCAACTTCGCCACAATAGAGGCACAGGTTCTGGGATCGTCTGCGCTGATGTTCCTCTGGGGGTAGTTTAGGCCGTGCCAGGCCGAGTTGCATGGGTTCGGGGTTATCTCCAGGTGGCCGGTTTTTGGATGTTTGGCCTAGGTGCTTGACTGGGACCTTGAAATGACCCCCAGGGATTTCCATGACCCTGGCCGGACCTCTCAAACCTGCGTTCCCTCAGTCTACGGTCAATTTTTAATGGTCAGTGCTATTAAGTCCTCTAAAGTCTCAGGTACCTCCACCCGGGCGAGCTCATCTTTCAGGCCTTCTGATAGGCCTATACGGAACTGATGCAGGAGTGCGAACTCGTTCCAGCGTGTGTCCCCCATCCAACGCCTAAACTCAGATGCGTACTCCTCCGCCGCTCGGCGGCCTTGCCGGAGCGTGTACAGAGTAGCTTCAGCAGAAGCTGCCCGCTGCGGGTCATCATAAAGGATGGCCATTGCATCAAAAAAACTGTCAACCGAACTAAGGTGAGGGTCATTTTTTCCCCGTAATCGGTGGGCCCAGTCTTGGGGTTCACCCTGCAGGAGGAAGATGACGAACCCCACCTTCACGGATTCAGTCACGAAGGTGCGGGGTTGTAGCTCAAAATAGAGAAGACAGGACTCGCGGAATGATCTGAAGCGTGTGCGGTCCCCGTGGAAACGTTCCGGTAAGGGTACTCGGGGTTTTCGGGCCGCCGGGAGTGGTGCGGATGCCCCAGACACCAGCACAGGGGCTGCTACAGCTGGAGGTGCGGGGACCGCGGCCTGTGGGGCAGGAACGGATATAGTGCAGGTCTGGAATTGGGTTTCAATCTGCTGACATCTATCCTGCAGGGCCGATACGGCCTGTGTCAAATTAGACAGGTGCCTGCAGATCTCCTCAAGCGGCGAAGGCCCTCCTCTAGACTCAGTCATGGCCTTCAGGTACTGTAAGGGACCGCCTGGCGGTACCACTAGCACTCCACTGAATAGGCGTCCCCAGCGCACGGAATCTAAGTCCCAGGGTGCTTGTTCACCAGGGCCCCTGATGGTGGGGATGGACTTGGAGCTCCCCGAGACCAGGTCGTGACTACTGGGTGCGTCCGTCCAGTGGTAGTAGTATGCGCCAAGGGCTCCCACGGGGAAGAGTCTGATGTGAGGAGGTCAGAAGACCCCACTGCAAGGGATGGATGGATGGATGAGCAAGGTCAGACGGGCCGGGTCGGTAACAGAGAGGACGGCAAGGTACAAGGCAGCGGGCATAGAATGGTCGGGTCACACGCCAGGTCAGCAACAGCAGGTCAAATCCAATCAGGGGCATTCAAGAGAGAGGTCAGGCAAAGCAAGGGTCAGAACAGGAGAAAGCAGCAAGGTCAGGTACAATCCGGGTCAAAACTTACAAAGGTACAGGTTCACAGGTTCACAGGATGCAGGGAAGACCAGAAGGCACTGAATGACAGCTCAGGGCCATTTAAATATCCCGCCCTGCGCTGCCATTGGTGCCCAGCGGCTTCTACTGCGCATGCGCGAACTCAAACGCCGCGGCCGGCCCGGACCTAGTGCCCGTGTCCCTGCACAGGGCGGTGCACTGTGCCTGCGCCGGGACCATCGCGGCAGGGATCAAGGAGATCCCTGACAGCTATACCCAAATGAAATTTTTGTATCATTTTTTTCTCACATATAGCACTTTCTTTTGGTGGTGTTTGACCACTATTGGGTTTTTTTTTTTTGCGATACAAAAAAGACCAAAATTGGGAGGGGCGATCAAGGGCATAAATACGTACCCAACAATGTGTAATGTGTGTATTATGTGATGCTGTTACTAACAGATCTCTTTGTTTCTCATCCCTGTTTGTTCATCAACACAGAGCTCTGGGCTGTGATTGGACACAGCTGATCGGCAGGTCCCAGTCCTGAATCCTGTTGTGGAACAAGTTGGACTTGCTAACAGACTCCTGCTGTGTACAATCACAGCAGGTGTCAGTGGTGGGTTCTCATGCCTGCACCCTAAACCCAAAAGCAGGGAATGACAGACCAGTATGTCGCTTTGCCTGCACGGCCCGCCTGTCCACAGTACATTGCAGGCGGGGGGATCCATGAGTGGTTTGGGTGCCGTTGCAGTGTTGTTCTGGATTACGTTAGCAGTTTCGTTTCCTCTGTCACAAGTGATCCTGTACAATTGTCATCACTCTTTTTTTTTTTTTTTTTTGTTCTAATTTTTAGGTGATTTGCAGGTTCGGGGCTGAGAGTTACTGGAAAGATGTTCCTACTGAAGCTCTTAGAGGAGAAGATGTCACCATCCCTTGTCTGCTGTCTGGTGTGTCCCAATACCGCTGAATCTAGAGAAACTATCAGTTGTCTGGACTCTCAGATTACAAAATGGAACTGAACGTGAGGTTTATGGTTTTCGTAGTTACCAACATACACCATTGAGGCCCAGATCTCACATGCATGACGAAGACCTCCAACAAGGCAATGCCAGTCTTTCCATACCCAACATTCAGATCACAGATGAAGGGAACTATCGCTGCTTTGTTATCTTCACTCCAGATTTCCGGCTCCGCTACATCTGCTCTGCAAGTATCAGGTACACAGTGAGATCCGCAAGGAAAGAGAAAAAATTAGGTTTACTAGACAGTGCCGATAATGAATTTATTGATAATGAAGGAATAAAAGTAATTATACTCACACATGGGGGTTGACTTACTAACGGCAAATAGACTGTGCACCATACAAGGTGCAGTTACTCCAGAGTTTTGTAAATGAGATAAAGATTCACTTTGCAAGGAATACCCAATCATGTGCAAAGAATATTTAAAAAGCACTTTTGCTTGCACATGATTGGAAGATGGAAGTCAGCAGAGCTTTTGCTCATTAAGCTTTGGAGCAAAGTGCACAGTCTATTTGCCTTTAGTAAATCAACCCAATAGTGCATGGGTCATTCACAGAGAGCTGTCTTCACCAGGTGTAAAACTAAAAAAAAAAAAATCTGGACTCCCTCGCTACTATATAGTATGTGGAGATGAATAGTCCAGACTGCAACCCGAGCAGCCATATAATCCAGCCAAGACCTCAAAAGGAAAACAGACATCCTATGACCATGTACAGGCTCCACATCTACTCTAGGCACATGCGATTTGTTTGTTTCAAATCAAATTTTACCTGGTCTCCCCAGACTCTGCATTCACTATATCTGATCTCTCCCCAGACTCTGCATTCACTATATCTGATCTCTCCCCAGACCCTGCATTCACTATATCTGCTCTCCCTGGACCCCGCATTCACTATATCCGCTCTCCCCGGACCCCGCATTCACTATATCCGCTCTCCCCGGACCCCGCATTCACTATATCCGCTCTCCCCGGACCCCGCATTCACTATATCCGCTCTCCCCGGACCCCGCATTTAACTATATTCGCTCCCCCCGGACCCCGCATTCACTATATCTGCTCTCCCCAGACCCCGCATTCACTATATCTGATCTCTCCCCAGACTCTGCATTCACTATATCTGATCTCTCCCCAGACCCCGCATTCACTATATCTGCTCTCTCCCGGACCCCGCATTCACTATATCCGCTCTCTCCCGGACCCCGCATTCACTATATCCGCTCTCCCCGGACCCCGCATTCACTATATTCCGCTCTCCCCGGACCCCGCATTCACTATATCCGCTCTCCCCGGACCCCGCATTCACTATATCCGCTCCCCCAGACCCCGCATTAACTATATCCGCTCCCCCCGGACCCCGCATTCACTATATCTGGTCTTCCCGGACCCCGCATTCACTATTTCCGCTCTCCCCGGACCCCGCATTCACTATATCCGCTCCCCCCGGACCCCGCATTCACTATATCCGGTCTTCCCGGACCCCGCATTCACTATTTCCGCTCTCCCCGGGACCCCGCATTCACTATATCTGGTCTCCCCTGACCCCGCATTCACTATCTGGTCTCCTCGGACCCGGCATTCACTATATCCGGTCTCCCCGGACCCGGCATTCAATATATCCAGTCTCCCCGGACCCGGCATTCACTATATCCGGTCTCCCCAGACCCGGTATTCACTATATCCGGTCTCCCCGGACCCGGCATTCACTAGATCCGGTCTCCCCGGACCCTGCATTCACTATACAGTTGACCATTTCCTTACATTCAGGTCCGTTATTACCACAGCCATAACTTGGAAGTCTCAGTCTCGTCTTCAGAGCTTGCACTCATGCATTCGTCTGTGGTCACCTATGCCACGCCATCACGGGGGGGGGGGGGGACTCCGTGGTGAAACAGCATCTTTAGTTAAAGTGGCGTACCAGTCGCACTGTAAAAAAAGTCAGCGGCTACAAAAACTGTAACTGCTGACTTTTAGAAAAAGCAGCCACTCACCTGTCCCTCGATCTCGTGATATTCCCCCCCCCCCCCCCCCCCTGCAGCCCATTTCACCAGCCGACCGGTGTTCTCGGCACCGGCATCTTCAGTGTGGGCACCCGGCTGGGACAGCTTGCGGCTTCACAGCCAGGTGCCCACTGCGCGCATGCGCGAGTAGAGCTGTGCTTTCTGAATGGTGCCGTAATCTTCTGGGAACTGTTTCGTGTCTCAGAAGACTACAGGGAGGGGAGAGGAAAACCTCCACTTCCAATCGCATAGATGATCGCAGCAGATGTGGGACCTAAGTTTGACTTGAACATGGCCATTCATGTGTTTGACGAACACACGAATGGTACGGGCATTACGGACATTTCGCCCGCCCCCCTCACCCCCACAGTGCACTGTGCCCTGACAGTGCATTGTGATTGATCAAAGCAATGCACCTGACCATAGGTCAGGTGCCATGCTTTGACCAATCACAGAGTGTGATGACATCACAAGGGGGCGTGGTGAACCCCCTGCCCCCTTGTGACGTTGTGACAGTATACAAGAACTGTCCTATCAGGCACAACTGTCAGACGGCGGGAGCCAGTGTCGTGAGCAGAGAGTTTTATTTCTTTTTTTTGGGTGGCGGTGGAGGCGGCATCATGATTGACGTTGGGTCTACTTTGGGGGACATTTTTTTGAATTTTTTTTTTAATAAAGGACTTGTCAAAGACTGTCTTCTGTCTTTTTTTACACTACACTTTTTTTGTGAAAGGGTAGCAGTACTATCTACCGCATACTCCTTCACATGGGGGGAGGGGCGGTATCTGGGGGCCCCCTTGTTATAGGGGGCTTCCAGATTCTGATAAGCCCCCCTCACCCGCAGCCCCAAAGCACCCCCCCATGTTGAGGACATGTGGCCTGGTATGGGTCAGGAGGGGATGGGGGGTGGGCGCTCGTCTCCCCCCTTTCCTGACTTGCTGGGCAGCATGCTTGGATAAGGGCCTGGTATTGATTTTGGAGGGGACCCCCATGCCATTTTGAAGAAAAGGAACAGACTTTGTTGCGAAAATGACATGAGAGTGGCACTTGCCAAGGTAATGCTGCGCATTTCTGAACTGGCCTCTGAAAGACAACAGCAGAAGTCACACTGATTTGCGGTAAATATTCATTATTTTTTTTTTGTGTGAAAATCAAGTTTTAATGGTTTTGTTCTTTATTCTTAATGGTTTTGTTCATTTGTGCACCTATGTATAAATATATACCTATGTTTTGAATTTTAAAAATCATATTTTATTTTTCCAATTAAGAAGGGTTCGGTGAATGCGCATATGAAACTGGTGGGGTTCAGTACCTCCAAAAAGGTTAAGAACCACTGGTTTAAAGGCATCAGTCCAGCCAGCCGCCTTCTCCACCGCTCTTCCTTTGACAGAACAAAGCCTCAGAAACACGTTGTCCAGGAAATGTTAACCTCCCATTGTCTGGAAAGGTATTACACAATTTGTTTTAAGGGGTCCTCAAGATGTTTCATCCTCTGCTCCCTCTGCGAAGACTGGATAAGCTCTTGTAACGTGAACCAAGAAGGGTTGCCAAACAGTATTGAATTCTCTCCTTGATAACACGAATCCTCTGGTCCTTATGCAGGCTTTGCAGATCAGAGAGCCCATGCACCATAAATTTGAGGAGGCAGGAAATTCTGGTCCTTCCGGGTCACTGAGGATGAAATTGTCAGGAACTACCTCCTCACAGCCACGTACTACTCCTGGCTGGGTTTCTGGAGACTGAAAACCGCCCCTTGAAGATTGCTTTATGTGATCCTCTAGTTCCATGCTGCTACAATCCTCCTCCTCCTCCTCCCCTTCCTCCTACCATGTATTCTGTGGTTTCTGCATAAAGGGGGCCTTGAGAGGACAGGAAATCCTCCTCTTCCTCCCGCTGTTCTGCCTCAAGTGCCCTATCCATGATTCTATGCAGCGTGTGCTCCAGCAGGAAGACTAGAGGGATAGTGTCACTGATACATGTAGTGTCGAGGCTCACCATCTTTGTGGCCTCCTCAATTGGTGACAGTGTATGCATTCTTTATTAGCAGCCACTGGTGTGTCCTTGTGCCATATTCAGACAGGTGCTCATTGATGGCCCTCAGCTGCATGTGCTGCCACATTGCACCTCTTCTGCATGTTGTGGCTCAATAATAGATACGGCCAGCATTGGAAAAAAAAAAGGACAAGCGCGCCCTGCCTCAGAGGATACACCATGTCCACGACCATCACTTTTCACTGTGGACACAGAGGCTGCTTGCCCTTTCTTAGCTGCCTGTGAGCATCTGCCTCTCATTTGTGGCCTTTTGGACATTATGGGGATTTTTTAGGGGGATTTATATCACTTTATTTTTCTGTGTAGGATGGGATTTTTGTTGCTTTGGTGCACTATAAACTGTTTTATTATTTCTTTGTTTATATAACACTGCACAAGACTGATACTAACAATGCACAAGGCTGCCCCCATAACACATAACGCTGCACAAGGCTGACCTGTGGTCAGGTGCAATGCTTTGGCCAACCACAATTTGCCGCCAGACCGCATTGCATTGTGGGGCACGGACATCCCACCGAATGCCCATTATGTTCGTGTTTTCTGTGAACACACAAACTGCCAATATTCAAGTCGAACTTAAGTTCGACACGAACATATAGCCCATCCCTAATATGAAGTAAATTGAATAACGAGCATGTTGTCCTTAATCACAAAACTGGCTTTGCAAACAATTCCAGCTTGCCCAGATGTTTACTCCTCTCTGAATCTAGGTGTCATCATGTTTACATGTCAATACATTCATTGTTCTGAAGGTTAAACGACCTCTCAGGAAAGGAGGGGTGTATGGAACGGAGGGGTGGAAGGAAGGGGTGGAAGGAAGGGGGAGGGGTGGGTGGAAGGAGGGGTGGGTGGAAGGGAGGAAAGGAGGGGTGGGTGGAAGGGAGGAAAGGAGGGGTGGGTGGAAGGAGGGAGGGGGGGAAGGAAGTGAGGGAGGGAGGGGTGGAAGGAAGGAATAGGTAGAAGGAAGGGGTGGGTGGAAGGAAGGGGTGGATGGGTGTTGGGAAGGGATGGGTGGAAGGAAGGGGGAGGGGTGGGTGGAAGGAGGGGTGGGTGGAAGGAGGGGGATAGGTGGAAGGAAGGGAGGGAGGGTGGAAGGTATGAACGAAGGGGTGGATGGAAGGGAGGGTGGAAGGAAGGGGTGGGTGGAAGGAAGCAAGGAAGGGAGGGTGGATGGAAGGAAAGGAGGGGTGGATGGAAGGAAGGAAAGAGGGTAGGAGGGGTGGAAGGAAGGACTGGGTGGGTGGAAGGAAGGAGAGGGGTAGGAGGGAGGGATGGGAAATGAGGGGGTTTAGTGGAATGGGGTTAGGAAGGAGTTGGTGGAAGGAAGGAAAGGAGGTGGGTGGTTGGAAGGGAGGGAGGGGTGGGAAGGAAGGTAGATTGGACTCACATGCTCATTCAAATGCATCAGAGCTGTCAGCTACTGTGTTCAGTTTCCCACCCACACCTCCTCTGAAGCTGTACGGACTGGAGTGTGGGCGGGAACTGGGGGAGGCAGAGCAGATCCAGCCTCTCTCCCTTCTTCTGCTATTGGTGCGGAGGATGGAGGGAGGGGCTGGGCTGAGTGGAAACCTTCACATGGGGGACATTCAGGCCTGGACTGGCCATAGGGCACACTGGCCATTTGCCTGGTAGCCTGGGGCTGCCCGGTGCGTGGCCTGTCGATCACCGGGCTGTAAAGCAAAAGCTATGCAGCTGTGCCTTTCCCGGCTCTCCCTCCCCACCGAGATTTAATTTGGGACCAGCACGTGGCGTGGATGTGGACATACCACCTGAAGCTCCAGATTGATGTCCCACCCTTCCAATCGTCATTGACACCTCTGTGTAATCAGCAAGAGCTGATTGATGATAGGTTGTCTGTGTGCTGGATAGTGAAGAGGTATCTGGCGGCTATCTCGTGCATCCCACACAGCTGATCGTGGTGGGATGGTGGCCCGGGCGGGTATCTGTCATTGGCAGTCACTGAGCAATGAGCTGTATGATGGAGGTGGATCTTCTCCTCCAGGTGAGAGCACAGCAGTGTGTGTGTTTGTGTGTATGATCCGGCTGATCTTC